CGTATGCTCGTTAATTTTAGACTTTTTGATTTTTCTTTTCGAACTACTTGTTATTTTGTTTGCTTGAGGACAAGCAAAGATTTAAGTGTTGGGAGTTGTTTGTTATGCTTTTGTGCTTATTTTTAGTGTTTATGTGTGTTATCGAGTCGGTTTTAGGTTTGTTTTAGTGTCGACCGATCCATTTTATCGTTGTATGTGTGTTTTTATGTCTTTCTTTTTATTTTATATTTTGGCGTACTTTTCCGTGCTTTTGGTATGATTTCAGGTTTGTTTCGAGGATGGAGAGAGAGAGAGAGAGTCATATCCCGAGAAAACGAACATTTTCGAGTCATTCGTACGAACCATTTCCAGTCGAGTATTTCGAGTCCATAGTCGAGCCCGGACGTGCCTTGACCTGCCCACTTGCGAGCCCTCGCCGAGACCAGCGACCTCGCGGACGCACACAACAACCGATCACGTGTGCGCCCCAAGCCGCGACCTCGCGGAAGACCATGCGAGCTCGAGAGTGCTGCACGTCCTGCTCCCGCGAGTTCGAGAGTCCCGCGATAGATGATCATCGCCCGCACGTTAGCTGCCCGCGCCTCGCGGATTTCCCGGCGAGCTCGAGAGTGCCACGCCTTCACGCCCACGCCTCACTCGCGACCTCGCGGAACTTCTGGCAACCTCGCGAGTGTTTTCCTGCCAACGTCCCCGCGCATGCGACCCTCCGCGACGTCGAGAGTCTGTTTCCTCCTGCGCGCGCCCGTGAGCGCCCGTGCACATCACGCCTGCGAGCTCGCGGATTTCATGGAGACGTCGAGAGTGTCTCATTTAATCTGCATTTTTCTAGTGTGTGTTTTGAGTGGGAGTATAAATATTTTTCTTCCTTTGCATTTTGGGGATCCACCACTCATTATTTCATTTTTTCTTTTTATGATCTCATGTTGTGTTTTAAGTTTGCTCTCTAGACTAAGGAGCTTATGTTATTTTTCGGGAGGTTTTTCGGCGACTTTCGTTTCTTTCAAGTTTCGAGCTTTTGTCTCCATTTTTCCTCACCAACGCAATAGAAGAATGAGTATTTAGTTTTAAAGCTCTTTACTTCGATTTTTGTCTCGTTTCTACTTATAATGTTTATTAGGGTAAATTTGAGATTGATTGATGATGGAGGGAAGGTTTGGACTTGATTGCTTGGGATGCTTGCTTGAGTAGTTATAGGGATTAATTGCTTGTCAATCTCGGTAAAGGGTTAAGACCCGATTAGGGATTATTTACTTAGGGATAGAAGGCTAGGGTTAATGATCTAGTGCTCATAGCTCGTTTATTCCTCTTTGTCGTTGATTTTCATCTCGTTGTGTTGATGACATGAAACTCCGATGGTCTAGCTTCGTCAGTTGCTCGTGATTGATATTTCCCTTAGTTAATTGCTCTCTTAGTGTCAAATCCAATCTCAAACCAATTGATTAGCATGTTTAGGATTTTATTTTCTCTTTTTGTGATTTGAACAATCAAGTAGTAGATAAAACTCCGAAGCGCCTTTTCTTTGAGAACGACCCGATCGGGTAACTCGGTTATCCTTTACCCACCAAAACTTTACTAAACACGACTTCATGGAAATTTCAGCCTATTTTTCCCAACACTTATATCTGTCCAGTCACTGTGACATCCTACCGACGTAACTGCCTCACTATCTGCGTTGTCCTCGTGCAGTGTACACATTAAATGCTGGATTAATTTCGTTTATCCTATTTTTTTATCCAACAGTCATAATCAAACTGTCCTTTTGGCTTACCCCTTTCAATCGTGCCCATCTATTTAGGCCCCGATCTAACAGTTCTGTTCGACGGTCCCTTCAACTAGCCCTTTTAATCTCGTCCGTACATTTCGACCTCTATCTAAAGTTCAGGATCAGTTAATCACTTGCGTTCTTTCTTCTTTCCTCTATAAATAGATCCCTGGCCAAATTTAACAGCCTTTTTGCTTTGCGAAAATTTCTCTACAATATAATCTCTCAAGTTTCAACAGAAGACCTACATCTTCGCCGTCCTACGTCTAAATGGTTATTTCCACCTTTCTATTTCAAGTCTCAGCCATATCGATAGTTATTTATTGTCTTATAACATCCTTTCAGCTTGTTCACAGCGTTAAAGCTCTTTTCCAACAAGCACATCTGCCACATTAATGTCTAAACCACTCACCACATATCGAACAACAACCTCTAAGATGTAACTAACCATGAAAGACATAGTTTCTATTTTCAAATCACGAGGACCCGATACACAGATTTCAAGGGATGCTTGTGATTGTATCTTGAGGTATATTTGCAATTAATTATTTGTATAATGTATCAATAGTTAAAGGAGCACTAATTAAGAAAGTAGCATCTATTCACTATGATCCAACTAATTACGCCTTGTTACACTAATTAAAAAAGGATATACATTCATTGTGATTCAACTAATTACGTCACGTTATTCTCGATTACTGAAGTAATTTTGACACGCATTGATCAATCAAACACCATAAGCTAATTGATTAATGATTATAGAATAGGGAAATGCTAAGGTCCCGTTACGGAACCATTCCATCGTGGTTTGTAACCATTAGATCATCGTGTAACCGTCAGAGATAGTTGATCTAACGGTTACAAACCCCGAGGGAATGGTTCCGTAACGGGACCGTAGCATATTCCGAAAGAATATGAGGTTCATTCCCCTGAACGTGAACGAATCAGATTCCAACGTATGACCTGGATTAGAACATACGTGCTCTCTGTTCAACAAAAGCTTCATTCCATATTCAAAGATCGTTTTCTGGAGAATAACATGGTGAATCTTATGTAGTTATTTTCAACTGCAAATTAAAAGAAGATGAACAATGGAAATAAAATTGAGACGATGTTTCTTTTTCGACAACTGATCGTTGAAATACGCCTCCCTCATCAGCCATGCAGAAGAAAGCCCATCTCCTTTCTTCCAAGCCTAAAATAAAGATTAAGATCTAAATATACGATTATATACACATAAAAATTACGAATTTCGTAGAAAGTAAAAAATTGAAAAAATAACACACCTGGCAAAATGGGAAATGAAATTGAAAAATGATTGTTTATGGATACCTTGTAAACGTGAGTCGTCGCCTTTAATTTTTTTTTTTTTTGTTTTTAAATGTTTGGATTTAGTTTTTTTCTAAAAATTTTCAAAATACATATAAGTGGATATTCAGAATTTCTTTAAGAAAAATTAATTATTATAATAATTCTAATATTTTAGGCGAGAATTGTAGTAATTCTTTAGTTACTATTTTATACTTTTTGAGTTGTTTCGGTATATATTAATAAATTAATAAAATCATATTCAACTGTTACCAACTAAATTTTATGTGGAAAATCTACTTGCAAGTACCCTTCGATGTCAAACTAAATTGATTGGTTTTAGCCCAATGTTCTAATTCGTCAAAAGATCTAAAGAAAATCAAATATTAATATACAAAATATATATATAAAAAAATATCTATATACAGTTACATAAGCAAATCCTCATTTTTTTTTGGTTATTAATCCCATTATTATTATTATTATTATTATTATTATTATTATTATTATTATTATTATTATTATTATTATTATTATTATTATTATTATTATTATTATTATTATTATTATTATTATCCTCCTTATATATAAATTCCGAATGCGCTGAGCCTACGTGGCTGCTTCTGGTGCTTCGGAATCTTATTTGGCGAAGAATCATGTTTCGTAATTAGGTTTAAATGAATAATATTGATATATTAATAATTAATTATCTAGGTTCGGAAAATATTGATTTATATTCTTATATATAAAAGGTATTTAAAAGGTAAGTGTCATAAGAAATATATAATAATATATATATATATATATTTTTATAAAAGGTATTTAAATTTTCAAACTATTTTTTTCTTATTAATTTTAGATTTTAAGAAAAAAATTAGCAAGCACCCGTGTAATACACGGGTGCTAGTTATTATTATTTACCTAAAATTGTGTAGAATCCTTTTCTATTATTAAACAAACCATGGAATACTAAACGACACACCACCCACCCACCATAGAAGGGTTTGTTTTTACCAGTTCGTTTCAACTCTTCTTGAAATTCAATTCAACCATCTTCACCGCAGTCGTTCGTGACAGCTCACTTTTCTAAGGTTTGCCTTTTGTATTTTTTTCATTTTTTTTTTATGCCTCTATGTGCGTACCTTTCCCTTTCTTCTTTATTCATGAAGCTTTGGTCGTTTTTTAATGGCCACGCTTTGTGTATGTATGTTTTCACAGACATTGAGTTCAATCTGTATGTGTATGTTTTGAGCTGCTTGTTTTAGTCGTGATATGAATGCTGTTCAAAAATATATGATTAAAAGCATTGGAGAAGGTGTAGAAAGATTTTCTTAGTTGATTTCTAAGAATGAGTTTTAAACTAGTATCCAATTTGGTGGCACTTGTCCATTGCAAATCGAGGTGGAAGAGTCATTGTTGAGAATTCTACTGGCATAGTGCTAATAATGGACTAGATCAAAATGGCTCGATTAAAGTCTAGTGCTTCTTCTATTAGTGACGTTTCTAGAAAAAAAAATATATCAAATGACGCGATGCACCTTGGGTCGCTACGGAAACAGTCTCCTTGTATAATTATAAGGGTAAGGTCTGCGTACAACTGACCCCAACCAGTTGGGAATATACTGGGTATGTTGTTGTTGTTGTTGTTGTTGTATCCAATTTGGTGTCACATGTTACTTGAGATGGGCCGGGGCCCGTTTGATGACCCTAAACTCCAATCACAAATTTAGTTATGGTTTAGGATCTGATGATGTATTTGTAAATGATGAAGTAAATTATTTTTCTCCAGTCACATTCTTGGTTCATGATCTTGCCTGTTGAGTGTTTTATGAATTTCCTCTCAATGCGGTAACTCTCGTGTCACAGTCCGTATGCACATAGAATGTAAGATCATAAGAATGCTTCTTTGTAGGTGTCAAATTGAAGCACAATGACGGCGAGGATGGCTCGTCGGGGCATAGCACATGATGAGAGTGAAAAAGGATCAGACAAGATGCCTAAGAAGCGTCGATTTATTAAAATCATGTTTGGCTTTGATTTCTCAACATATTTGGTACTGTCTCATTCTGTTTCAGTTCCTTTTCTTTTGTCCATTGTCTTCTCTTATATTGGATTCTTTGGTTTGTTGTTGTAGCTTGCAATGTGAGTTGGTGGTAATTGTCACGTTCTTCTCTTTGTACGGACAGTGTTAAAACATATTAGATTACACTTATATGTGACTCGGACGTGCGTAATCTGACAAAATCTAGTAAAGTTAAATTCCACTACAAATCACAATCTCGTGTAAATATGGGCCTGGTAAGCTCTTAATATTTTGCTTTGTAAGTTGTAAGAAACCATGTACTTTCTTCAATTTTAGTATTGCTACTACTTTTGCATAGCAAGTACCCCATGATGTCCAATTTTTTTTTTCGGTTAAGTAGTTTTTTTCACTTAAGGTAGGGCATTTACATCTTGTTCTATTATTAGCTTTCTCTACATAGATTAGAAGGTCTTGCCACTAGAAGGCGTCGTGTGACCTTGTCTTGAATGACTGTTGTCCTATCCTAAATATTTGTGTGTGTACAACTTTCAACTTTTTTAGGATCCATTTTGATTCAAAGCTCCTTTTACCTAAATGAAAACTCAATATTTAATGAAAGCTCAATAAATGCGACAGATACTTTGTTGGAAAAATATGTCACCTGCTAGTGTATATGATTACTAAAAATAGAACCTGTTGATTACTTAACCAATTTTAATATTTTAATCTTCAAACTAAGTTGTTATGCATTTCAATTGAGCCCAAGGTGTGTATAAATTAATTGCGTATCTAATAAAATCCCATTGCACATTTTCCATGTGTTCTTTCACCCTTAAAAAGTTTCCCGTACTAGTAAAAGTTTAAACTATTCAGTTGTTAAGAGTTAAATGTCACGACTTCATGAGGATACTCGAAGGATGATGTCGCTTTGTGTGTATTTCGTCAAGCATCATAATAATGTAGGTGAATTCACCAGATATACATGTCATGGGGTTCTTATTATGATGGACATGATTGATTATTGCTTTAAGAATTATGTGGAAATAATTATATATTACCCTTTTGTTCTGTTTTTCTTTTCTTTCTCTCTCTCTATTTCTTTAATATTTCGATTATTTGTAGCCCCTGCCTCCCAGTTTTGTTAAGTCAGTGAAACACTTGGCGGATCAAGAAATTCAAATTGAGGATTCGAACGGGCTCCAGTGGTCTGTTAAACTCGCAGAAGTTGATGGCTCCCTTTCGTTGAACGAGGGTTGGAACAAATTCTTTCTGGACCACAGCCTGAGAGAAGGATACATATTGGTGTTTGAGTATGCAGTCGACGGTCATTTCACGGTGTATATATTCGGGCAGCCTGCTGTTGAGATTACTGACTTCGACAATGTGAGCCCCAAGAACAGAAAGCGGGTCAAAACGTACCCGGACCCGGTTTCCCCGGACAAACCATTGTTAAAAAAAATTGTGCAGCCGAGGGAAAAGTCGGGACCGAATGACTCTGTGGCCCCCCGATCAAAAACCAGAACTTGCAAAACTCGCTCTAAGGAGGCAGATGGCAACATGATGAGGCCAAGTTGTGAGTTACCTACTGCGGGCTCGGAGAATAAGATTGGCATGATCAATCGAGATACCGAAAGCTGTGGAAGAAAAGAGAAGGACATTTTGTATGACCCGTCATGTCTTGAGACGGGAAAGAAAACTCCCGCCAAATGTGTCACTAAAATTACTGATAAGCTTAACACAAATGCGGATGGTAACAACACTCAAATAAATGCGAGCCGTACGGATGGGGTAAAAAAGCCTTTGGATGTTAGTGCAGGCCCTTCTCGTACTGCACAGAAGAAAGTGGATGTTAACAGGAATGCCAGTGAGAAATTTACCGGCACAGTTGAGAAGGCTCCTGAAAAAAAGCGATCCCCTTCTCGTGCTGTGAAAACAGATGTTAAAATGAAGAAGAATGCTACTCAAATGGCTGGAGATCATGTGGAAAAGATCAACAGTGATTCTAGTGATATTTTAGCTGATATGAACCGTGTTACTCGTTCTGATAAAGGTAACCTCAGCGGGAAAGTGCGGGAAGACGCTTCAAATCCTCCGAATGGTGAGCTGAACTTGTTTATTTTTTATTTTTTTTCTTAAAATATTATCACAGATTGTATGTAGTTTATGTACCTTGTTCTATTGTATTCCTTATTAACAAGTGATTAGTCTTCTTCTATAGACTGTTCTGAGAGGGGAATTGCTGGAAAACGCAAATATCTTGAACCTACGATTCCGAGTGAAGAGCTTGAAAAATTGTGTGGTATGTTTTATTTTATTTTTTCTATGAACCTGCAGTTCATCTCATGGTATCTGTGGCATAACTTGTATTGATTGGTTTAAAATTTGGTACAGGCAAACGGCGTATAAAACAGGAGCAGGTTGGGCCTAAAGGTAAGGCTTTCCTGGATTATGATGTGGTGGAAAATGCTTGTTTTAGTTCTACTAATTTGTTTGAACTAGATTGAGAATTATAATTTTTCTTGGTAATTGCATATGGAGTCTTGTGTGAGAGCTTAGCGTTAGCAGGTGTATGCAAAGATCATTAGTTGTCTTTTTAAATTGAAAATTGAAAGTGCCAATTACAAGGCAAAATGATCAAATGCTCTTTCCTCCGGTAAAAGGTGAACCTGATCTGGCTGATGAGGCAGTGCCATCGAGTGGTATAAGTCCGTTTACAGCAAAAGTCGAGAACAAATCATATCTGGTATGCTATTTGTTGACAACGTTATTTACTTATTTTCTTTTACCTGCATTTCATTATTGGAGTTCAGTGCACATACAGCATTGTCATCTGTTTGCTCTATTTTTATTTTTTTTTTTTTCTATTTAATTCCGTGTTCATGCATTATGTTGTGTTATATCAGTTGGTATTAAAATTGAAACGTATTCTGTAATGTATGTTGCTCACCTTGTCAATCTAACCACGTCTCAATGTTACCATTCCTAAAGGAGATTTGATTTGGCTAAAAAATTTCATACAAAACCTGTTTTATTCTTGGCTCATTGTTACATTAAAAGGGCTAAGCTTTAATTCTCCATGTAAGTCCTACTCCAAAGATAATCCAAGGCATAGATTATTGACACATAGGATTTTGAAGCCCTTTTAGGTTCAAGAAACTCTGAATTTATATATAAGGGGCGATTTCTCGGTCCCCAAGATGACTGCATTATTTTATTAACCTTGAAAATTTAAATGGAGGCACTAGGGTTTATGCAACTCTTCAGTTTCATTGTACCATATAATTAGACAGGTGTAAATGTGTAATCGTTTCTATGAAACAATATACGGCTCCGTAGAGCTCTACTGCTGATATTATATAACCTACCAAATTTAACCATCCAATGCATTGGGGATTGCCGAATTAGCAATAGGGCTCCACAAAAGGAGCCCTATCTGATTTTATAGAAAGCAGGTGTAACTGTGTAATAACTAGGAAACCACTGTAAACTGTGTAATTTCGTATTTTTCATTGTTAAACATACTGATTTTTTCTCCTTTGAACATTGGATTTGTGCTCGACACGTTGATGAAATCCCTATTAGTTATCTTTCCATCTTACCCTCATATTTATCTGATTTCTAAATGATGCTTGTGTTAGGAGTTGCCCGTACAAATTCCATCAGTAAAGAAAGATAAAGGAAAGGTTGTGTACATCAGAGGCTCGTCTGGAAAGATCTGGCCAATGATCTACCCTAATACACTAAAATCTGTGAAAGCATTGGTGGGCAACTGGACCAGATTTTGTGAAACAAATGGCATAAAGCCAGGGGATGAGTGCAGGTTCCAACCTGAAAACGAGAAGTTCTGCTGTTATAGAGTTGACGTTATGAACAAGTGATGAATGCAGTTATGCAGGTTTGCAAAGATGAATCCAGCCTTTAGAGTTTTTGTTGTTTATCATTATAAAGATTGGTAATATATTTGCTGTAATCGGGAGATCTCTTATGCTGAGTTCCAAGGGGAAGAACCTCTCTTGTGTAAGTTGGTGATCGTGCTTGAAATGACGAATCTCGTCCATCTCTCTCCTTCTCTCTTTGACGATTGTTGTTGTGTTGCTTCATTTGTTTTGGTCTCTTCTTAAGAGTATTTTGTATGAATATACTAGCAATTGATTAACATTTTCCTTTGTTTTGTTTCTGTTTCACTCTGTGTTCATTCAAAATCAATAATATGCAATTGGAAACTGATGAAAACTAGTGGAATGGAGGATTTGATACTTGCCTATATTGATGGTTCCAAGTATTTTCCACTTTTCAATAATAATAATAATAATAATAATAATAATAATAATAATAATAATAATAATAATAATAATAATAATAATAATAATAATAATAATCCTCCCTATATATAATTCCCGAATGCTCTGAGCCTACGTGGCTGTTTCTGGTGCTTCGGAATCATACTTGGCGAAGAATCATGCTTCGTAATTAGGTTTGAACAAATAATATTGATATATTAATAATTAATAATCTAGGTTTGGACATTCCATAAATATTATTTATGTAACTTAGGTATTTTAATATCACTTCTACTAATATAACCCTTTAATTATTTGTAACTAGTACAACACCCGTGTATTACACGGGTGCTTGCTAATTTTTTTTCTTAAAATCTAGAATTAATGAGAAAAAGTAGTTTGAAAATTTAAATACCTTTTATAAGAATATATATGTTATTATATATTTATTATGACATTTTTTATTTGTGCAACTTAATTGTGTTATATTATACTATTTTTTTTAACTTACAATATATAACTACATTACATATAAATATCTCAATTGAGAAATAATTTTATTTTTCTAATGAATTTTAATAAAAATTATTATTTTTTTATTATTATATAGATAAATATAATTTATTTATTTCATATATACAATATGGATGTCAAATCGAAGATCATCAAAAGATGATTAATTTGATATATTATATATCTAAAACCGATAAGAAATACAATAGTTATCAACTTTTAAAATACATTTATAATTCAATAGCTTATTGAAGGAAACAAATCAAAATTCAGGGATATATTAGTCACTTAGTGCCTCATTATGTAAAATTACAAAGAATTAAAGGGTTATATTAGAAAAAGTGATATTAAAATACCTAAGTTAACTAAATAATATTTATGGAATACCCGAACCTAGATTATTAATTATTAATATATCAATATTATTTATCTAAACCTAATTACGAAGCATGATTCTTCGCCAAATAGGATTCCGAAGCACCAGAAGCAGCCACGTAGGCTCAGCGCATTCGTGAATTATATATAGGGAGGATTTTACAGGCAATAAGTGACTAATATATCCCTGACTTTGATTTGTTTCCTTCAATTAACTATTGAATTATAAATTTATTTTAAAAGTTGATAACTTTTGTGTTTCTTATCGGTTTTACATATATTATATATCAAATTAATCATCTTTTGATGATCTTCGATTTGACATCCATATTGTATATATGAAATAAATAGATTATATTTATCTTTATAATAATAAAAGATAATAATATTTATTAAAATTCATTAGAAAAATAAAATTATTTATCAATTGATATATTTATTTTTAATGTAGTTATATGTTGTAAGTTAAAAAATTATTATAATATAACAAAGGTAAGTCGCACAAATAAAAAGTGTCATACTATATATATAATAATATATATATTTTTGTAAAATGTATTTAAATTTTCAACTACTTTTTCTCATTAATTTTAGATTTTAAGAAAAAAATTAGCAAGCACCCGTGTAATACACGGGTGTTATACTAGTAATAATAATAATAATTCAATTTCAAATGCAATTAATCAATAACGATATATATGTTTAAGGGCCCAGGTTAGGCAATTTTCCCCACCGCATAATACACAACTTCCCTCGTAATTTAGAACTAGACAACAGTGTTGTAAACTAATCGAACCGAATCGAACCGAACCAAGCTTAAGTAGTTCGAGTAATATTCGAGTTTGTTCGAGTTCGTTCATTTAAGCCTAATTTATGTTTGTTTTTGTTCGTTTATTTGTTCGTTTCGTTCATGTTTGGCTCGTTTAGTTGAACAAAATTATTTGAACTTTTTGAACGTTCGATTAGCTCGAATTGTTTTAATTGTTCAATTATCAAGACTTAAAAATTACACCAACCATCTTTTATCGATGAATAATCATAATCAATCCATAACATCTATATATATATATAATTGCTGGCCTATAGAATTTAATAAAACATTTAATAAAACCTCCATTCATTTTCCCGCTCATTTTTTTAATTAATGTAGAACCGTTACATTTTACATTAATAAGGTGTAATAATAATTTTAATATAATTTATTTACTACTAACACTAATTGATTACAACTTTACATTAAATAGTATGTGGAAGTTACATACTTGTAAAAAATTGTATTCCAATTTTTTTCTTTAAAATATTTTTTCTAAAATAAAATATTTATGTTCTTTTTAAGCGATTTTTATCTAATAAGTTAATTGGCATGAGTGTCATAATTAAACACCTTAAAATCACATAAACAAATGCTATAACAATGATAAAAATAATTGTAATACTTTTCTAACTAATTAATTGTATGGTCTCTCTAAATTACTAAATTGTATTAGCCATTAAAATTTATGGCATCAATATAAAGATTCATACATAAATTAAATAAATTATATTTACATTACACATTTGCATGTAGTCCAAATTTAAAATGTAATACATAAATTATTTAATATAAAATTTGTATATATTGTATACATAAATATAATATATAAATTTTTATTTTCTTTGTGCATGTGCACAGGATGAATACTAGTTTAGTAAGTAAAAACAAACTGATAAGTCAATTACTAAATATAAACAAGTTGAATTCCAACAAATTACAATCATAATATAAACATGCAGTACTAATATAAAAACAACATAAAGTTCATGAAAAAAGTCTGATACAATAAAGCATAACTAGTATGTAACTTGTGCGATGCACGGGCTAGTACATGTTTTGGAAAAAATTAAAAAATTAAAAGGTCATTAATTAATAAGTTATTATAATACGTATGACATTCATAAAGTAAATATAAAATCGTCATTGGTAAAAAGTTCTACATTATTAAAAACCTCCTTATATACAACGTTATTAGTTTAATTATTGGGTAACTCATCGTCCCCACAAACTAATATTTTCAACCCCTTCCTATTAGTAACACGTGAAACAACGACGTATAACTAGCCATGACTAAAAACAGGTTTTTCCAAGAACAGTTCAACATGTGATAAGACTGATCCTGACTCTTGTTTATGGTCATGGCATAGGAAACCATAAGGGGAAATTGCCACCGCTGGAACTTAAACGGAACCCTAACATCAGAAGGAGTTATGTTCATCCGAGGAATCAAACGTGTGCCATTACACAGACCCATAGAATTGTCCATGTTTCGCAACAACATGACCGAAGTTCCTATCTTCAAATGCAACTCATGGTTCGGCGTTCCCGAACACTTAATGCTATTCGAGAACTCAGGTGTGTGGAGAACAGCCAAAAAGCCATTGCCGCAATCCGACTTAAAGGTACTGTCAGAGCTCAAATATGCACGACCTTCAACAGAATTCATATCCGACATTTATTGATTGATAGACTCAACGACCTCCAAAGTAGGCGCTAATATAGCTCTGTCCTTCAAATAACTTAGATCGTCAGTTGCATTTTTGAACATTGGATAGGTACTTTCGACGATTGTATCAATTGGATCATCTGAGGTTTTCAATCGTATATCCTCTGGAATGTCAATCGCGGCACAACCGTCGTTTGATCCTTCTACAGTCCCATCTCCCAATGCTCGCAATCCACTCAGCAAATGTTGTTATCTCATCACGTTCGTCTGCATCTGAAATGCTCTGAAGACGCACGTTCTTTGTATGTCGCAACACAATACAATTTCTCCAAATGTCGGAAGAATTAATAGCTGCGTTCACAATGTCCTGACGACTCCCCTTTGGAATCACTTGAAGTATTTGTCGAAAGTCTCCACCAAATACAACAGGTTTGCCTCCGAATGGCTTGTTACTGTTGAAAGGGTCAAATGCTCCCATAATAGCCTGCAATGATGTTTGGACAGCTTCGAAGCAATGTTTGTGCATCATCGGCGCCTCGTCCCATATAATGAGAGAGCATCGTATTATCAGTTCCACAAGAGGACTTGCCTGGTCAATATCGCATGATGAATTCTCATGAATACTCAGCGGTATGCGAAATCGAGAGTGTGCAGTTCTTCCACCAGGCAACAAAAGAGACGCTATTCCACTTGATGCGATACATAAAACAATTTTACCCTTCGATCGTAACCCTGTAGACAACGTTCTCCACAAGTAGGTCTTCCCAGTCCCGCCATATCCGTATACAAAAAATACACCACCATTAGCAGAATCAACAACGTCCGTGATCTTTGAATAAACAGTCTTCTGCTCGTCGGTCATTCTACTAAGAAGTGCTTCGTGCTCTACAGATAAAGCCTTCCGACCGTAATTTAGCTCATCCAATATTAAGCGATTCGAAGTAGAGTCACTATGATCTCTAACTGGATAAGGCATGGATGAATAATCACGAAGACTTGTGCCGCGCCTTCTTAACAACGTCTCAATTTCGCTTAGGGTGAGATTCTTTATAACATCATCACTGAGCCGCAAATCTAATTTATCTCTATTTTTTTACATGGACGCTGTGAATGTAAAATAATGGTGGTACTGAATGTTCTTTTATACAACTTTAATTGTGTATAGTTTTATTTCCTATTTTTTTATGCCGCTTTATAAAAATAAATCCATGTAGATACATCCATATATTT